TATCAGCTGTTAGGACTTTCATTCTGATGGCACCCATTCACTGCTGAGGAGCCACTGGTGAGCAAGTGATGTAATGCTAAATTTCTGTTCTCATGAAGAAACAAACTCATCTATGTCTTGGATGGGCTGCAGGTAAATCTTAAGCAAATTTTGATTTGTGGGTGAACTATTCATTATACATCCTGTTTGGACTCTCTTTCTGACGGCACCCATTCACTGCAGAGGACCCATTGGTGAGCAAGTGATGTAATGCTATATTTCTCCAAATCCTTATGATGAAGAAATAAACTCATCTACATCTTGGATGGCCTGAGAGTGAGTACATTTTCAGAAATGTTAGTTTTTGGGTGAACCATTGCTTTAAACAACTTATGTCCCATAGGGTGTTACTTTATTACTTATATATTAGTAATATTACATAAGTGCTATTATTATAAAAAATACTATTATGCTATATTATTAATATATACCATTAATATTTGTAATTGTCAGTTTTCATTTTACTTTGTTTAAATTTTGTAGTAATTATGCGATGTGCTTTTGTCATTATTTTTTTAAAAATATCTTTGTTTTTATATCAGTTTTAGATTTAGTACATCTATTTTGTATTAATCCTACTTATTTTTACTTGTTTAATTTTAACAATAACAAGACCTATAACATTATGGAGTGTGGAAAACCAGGAAGTGCTTATCTTCAATACTGTAAGATTTGGATCACTTTACATTCTTTCTGTTGAAGTCTGGGTAAAAAAAAAATCATATTGTATTATTTTGAAACACTGACTGAGATTTGAATAATATGATAAACATTTGAAATCTTGTGTTTCTTTAATCTCAGATATCAAGGCTAAAAGAACAGAAGGCATAAAATTACATTGAAAATGCAGCTCTAACGTTGAATGGCAAAAACCACAAAAGTGATTACTTCTTTCTTTTAACAAAGTCTCTTAAGGGTCTTCACAGAAGGTCCCAAAAGTGAACTGAGTAAAAAAGACCAGTTCTATTTGCAGTTGGCCTTGGTTGTACCTGTCCTTGGTTCACTTAAGCTGCAATTGTCAAATATTTTCTCTTTCACATAGCAATGCAGTCCAGTTAAACCCTTGAGTCTTTTTATAGTAACTAATGGTGGCAAAGGTGTAAACACAAAGTGAACCTGGAGCACTTTTGCTTTTACAATGGACATACGAAGAGAACCAAACAATGAGCTTAAAGTGAGCAAATCTCAGATCACTTCATGAGATGGATTCCATATGGAGATTTATTAATTGCAAACAATGCATGGAAAAATGTATGTGACTACAGCCAAAATAGTGAACTGTAGCTCCTTCACATTGAAGCATGCAGTGCATACAAACTATATATTACAGCATGTTTCAGATCATAGTCATCATCATAGGCGAAGTTACTCTGTTGCAGTGGAGGCCCACGTCATTGCCCTCAGATTAGCCTGCAACCTACAAGCAAGCAATTACTATGGTAACCACTGATGCTACTGAGAGATGGTTGCCCACGATTGGCTCACCCACATAGAAACATGGCCAGTTGTTTTTCCAGCAGTGCACAAACTGAGCTTAGTACTGCTGGTCAAAGTTCTTGTTAACATGGGTTTTAAAAGGCTGCATCATGTGCCAATGTTTAGAGGCATAATTTGGTAATTAGCATCAGTAGGAAGCCAGCACATCACTTTTTCTTCAGGCTATTTTTGAGTTTTTGAGGTTCAAATTCACTTCAGCAAAAAAAGTACTGCATTCCTGCGAGGGTCATTAAGAGAGGCTTCAAAACAAAGTGATACTCCCAGGCTTCTTTCATTTTGACATGACATGCGAGAGTCATATGTGAGCTATATGTTTGTGGAAGTCGAGAATTGTGCTATAAAAAAACGATGCAGTCATGTCTGACTTTTGATTGACTGAGACTTGGCATTCCCAGTGTCATTGTTGATCCTCTGCCAGCTCCGTCAATGCTGGGATAAGTGTCTCTTGACATTTACCGTCTCAGTTTGTCCATGTGAAACAATCTGAGAGAGATTACATGACAGACTGTTTAGAACAGCTCTTGACCAACACTATTAGAATTGATTGAACTGAGATAAAGTCTCTCAAACTAATTATTTTGCCTTTCTTTCTCCTACAATTGCAACTGAATAAATCCAAGCAAGTTCTTAGATAATATATTCTGTTTATGATGTTATTTCAAACCAAAGCCGTGATTAAAATTAACAGGAATAGAAAATGTTCATGAATTTTAAGGATAGTCGTTAACATTATGGTGCAAATACTCTGAAAAGCTTTACTTTAATGTGCTCATATCAATTTTGTTATTGCTATTATTATTAAATTTTTCTCCCTGAGGCCCACTTATAACAATTAGTAAAGTACCAAAAACAGTCAGAATATATTTTTGTGACCCTTAAAATTAAACAGGCTGTTATGTCATCCAGAATTGAATTGGAAATGCTTTTTTTATTGTATTATATTGAGATAGCAAACAGGTAAATGTAAAAAGAAAGAAGTCTCTTATGCTTAATAAGGTTGCATTTATTTGATCAAGAATACAGTAAAAATAGCAATATTTTGAAATATTTTTTTTACAATTTAATAAACCTGTTTTCCTTGTTTATAATTTTTAAAAATTTAATTTATTCATGTGATAAGCTGAGTTTTCAACAGCTATTTTTCCGGTCTTAAGTGTCACCGGAATTTAATGATTTGAAATTTAATGATTTAAAAATCATTGTAAATCATTGCTGATTTGATGCTCGTTATTGGCCAGTTTAATGTGTCCCTACTGAATAATAATATAAATTATACAAAATGTTTTACTTCTAATTAATTTTTTTGGACCAGAGTGCAAAAATGCGTCTTTTCCAGAATGCATTACTTTTATATTTCTTTGATTTACAATTTGCTAAATTCCCTTTCCTGTTATTCCATCTCAACTTCCTGTAGGATTTAACCAATTCAATTTAAACACCAGTTCATGAGTTGAAAAAGAGCCAAATCTTCATTTCTGAATTTTGCCTGACCCTGATGTAAACGCCATCTTTGCATGAGAAGCACATTACATAAATGAAGTACTGGAGGAGAAGGTTTAAGGTCTGAAAGGATATTTTATTATATATGTAATACATTAAACACTTTTATCTCAAAGTATCAAGCAAAATGTGATTCTTCCTGATAATGACCCCTTTAAAGATCTTGGAAGCAGACTTGGTTATTTCCTCCAGGGGACGGGCTCCACCACAGCCTCCCAAAAATGCCAGCACCACAAGCTCATCACCGTGCCCTGTCTGCCTGGATTAGTTCTCTTCCAGGCTGTAGGCGAGGTTTGTGTGTCCGTGTGTGCGTATCTCTGGCTGTCTTTCTGCGCTAGTAAAGCAGAAAGTCACAGCCGGTCTCTATTTAGCAACTATACCTTACACCACACTTCTGATTGTAATGTGGATCCTGGAGAATGTAGGTCAATGTGTGCCAGAAGGGAAAAAGGAGGGAATTTCATAGATTTTAAAGTTGCACTTAGAAGATTAGATATGATTTTTCTTTACAAATCTATTTTCAAACATGTCTCCTGAGGCGCTCCGAAGAGCGGCAAGATTTTTTAAAAACTGAAGACAGAAACTCGGCTGCAATTTGCGAACTTGATTCAGTTTTATCTTGTTAAAATATATTATGTAAAAAAAAAAGGTTAGCTGATACTCTCATATATTTTTATACCTTTAAAGCTTTCTTATGTAAAAGTGGCTGTTCTTTCAAAACCAACACTTAATTAAATCTAATATTTTTTATTATACAGTATCAACGTAGAAAAATAATGTTTACATTTTCATGTTCACAATTTCACAAAGTTTGCTATCTCGGTACTTCTAGGTATTATTATTATTATTATTATAGTTTGTTGATTTAGCCATCGTGTAATGGATTTTTCTTTTCCAAAAATTGCTAGTTAATATTATTGCATTAAACTTTTTTGGTATTCTGCCCCCTATTAAATTTGTAGCATTCCCACAGCCTACAATGGTCAGATATTGAGTGAATACTGCCAAAATTATCCACAAATAATGCTTTTTTTCACTTGAAAACTGAAGTGCATAAGCTCAAATCAATGAGGCCTACAGTCAGTTCCAAAAAGTAATACAAAACCTGTTCTAATTGAAAGAAAAGTTGACAAAAAGATTGAATCCAAGATTTGGTGATAATATAGCATAATGAGAGATATAGAAGCAATTTTTAAAAGGCTGGTCATTTTTGACTGGGTACACCAAAATAAGTACAGGATTTTCAGCACAACACAAGGGTTAAATCTATATCAGGCTGCTTGGCCTATAAGCATTGTGCTGATCAACATTTTATTTATCCCACTGATTCACTGAGCTTACACTTTGTGTTTGTGCCTCTGTATCGGACTGACTCAGGGATATCTCTTGCCCTTGGCCATCCAGTGAGCCATTGGAATCCAATAATTGTAATTTTGGAATCGGGCCTTGCTGACTAGTGCATCAAGACACAGGAGATAGAGGAGTCCCCATTGGCCAATTAATCCTTCTTAGCATGGTCTTAATCAATGGGACACTGTTTATCTGAACCAAATTTCCCTTGTAATTGAGCAGAGGATTGGTAATCAGAGCTCGCTAGCTGGTGGCATCGAAATCTAATAGAAAGTTTGAGTGGGTTTTAAACAACCTGTGCATGGAGCTGTCTGTTTATACCACACTATCACATCCACCTCACTGCTATTTCTTGAACACTGATACATGCCAGTCAGCGGAACAATTCGCTTTCCTTTGGGATTGTAGAGAGAATCCTCTAAGGAATTCTCTAAAGTACACCTTGCAGGTATTTTCGTCTTCTCCATAAACTTATAATAGGAAATAGGCCATTCTTACCGTTTTTACAGATGGGGCAGCACTGTTCTGGCTCATACACTGGGTTGACACACTCTGGTACTGCACAGTCAGCGACCACACAATGCACCTCGTTATTTGGCTCGCAGCGACACCATTCACAGGGCGAAGGCTGGGGAGACAGAGAAATACGATGCGGTGAGAGAATGTTACAGGTAAGACATCACAGTTGACACAGTCAACATGAAATCAAACGGACTCTATTTTTATATATAAATGCATTCTATTCCAAATTAAAACAGTATAAGTGCTTGCTCCATGTCACAAATCTTTCTCCCTTTTCAATCCACCCCTCCAACCGGGCTGGCTACTTTGTACACTACATTTCAAAAGGTTGGGATTGGTAAGAATTTTTAATGCTTTTGAAAGAAGTCTCTTATGCTCTATGAAGTCTCTTATGCCAAATTTACACTGCAAAGGTGGCACAGAAGTGCTTCTGAGGTGGCATTAGGTGCTTTTCAAAGACTATTTAATGCTGCTCAGAGGTGGCTATTTTCAAACATGTCTCCTGAGGCGCTCCGAAGAGCGGCAAGATTTTTTAAAAACTGAAGACAGAAACTCGGCTGCAATTTGCGAACTTGATTCAGTTTTATCTTGTTAAAATATATTATGTCAAAAAAAAAAGGTTAGCTGATACTCTCATATATTTTTATACCTTTAAAGCTTTCTTATGTAAAAGTGGCTGTTCTTTCAAAACCAACACTTAATTAAATCTAATATTTTTTATTATACAGTATCAACGTAGAAAAATAATGTTTACATTTTCATGTTCACAATTTCACGAAGTTTGCTATCTCGGTACTTCTAGGTATTATTATTATTATTATAGTTTGTTGATTTAGCCATCGTGTAATGGATTTTTCTTTTCCAAAAATTGCTAGTTAATATTATTGCATTAAACTTTTTTGGTATTCTGCCCCCTATTAAATTTGTAGCATTCCCACAGCCTACAATGGTCAGATATTGAGTGAATACTGCCAAAATTATCCACAAATAATGCTTTTTTTCACTTGAAAACTGAAGTGCATAAGCTCAAATCAATGAGGCCTACAGTCAGTTCCAAAAAGTAATACAAAACCTGTTCTAATTGAAAGAAAAGTTGACAAAAAGATTGAATCCAAGATTTGGTGATAATATAGCATAATGAGAGATATAGAAGCAATTTTTAAAAGGCTGGTCATTTTTGACTGGGTACACCAAAATAAGTACAGGATTTTCAGCACAACACAAGGGTTAAATCTATATCAGGCTGCTTGGCCTATAAGCATTGTGCCGATCAACATTTTATTTATCCCACTGATTCACTGAGCTTACACTTTGTGTTTGTGCCTCTGTATCGGACTGACTCAGGGATATCTCTTGCCCTTGGCCATCCAGTGAGCCATTGGAATCCAATAATTGTAATTTTGGAATCGGGCCTTGCTGACTAGTGCATCAAGACACAGGAGATAGAGGAGTCCCCATTGGCCAATTAATCCTTCTTAGCATGGTCTTAATCAATGGGACACTGTTTATCTGAACCAAATTTCCCTTGTAATTGAGCAGAGGATTGGTAATCAGAGCTCGCTAGCTGGTGGCATCGAAATCTAATAGAAAGTTTGAGTGGGTTTTAAACAACCTGTGCATGGAGCTGTCTGTTTATACCACACTATCACATCCACCTCACTGCTATTTCTTGAACACTGATACATGCCAGTCAGCGGAACAATTCGCTTTCCTTTGGGATTGTAGAGAGAATCCTCTAAGGAATTCTCTAAAGTACACCTTGCAGGTATTTTCGTCTTCTCCATAAACTTATAATAGGAAATAGGCCATTCTTACCGTTTTTACAGATGGGGCAGCACTGTTCTGGCTCATACACTGGGTTGACACACTCTGGTACTGCACAGTCAGCGACCACACAATGCACCTCGTTATTTGGCTCGCAGCGACACCATTCACAGGGCGAAGGCTGGGGAGACAGAGAAATACGATGCGGTGAGAGAATGTTACAGGTAAGACATCACAGTTGACACAGTCAACATGAAATCAAACGGACTCTATTTTTATATATAAATGCATTCTATTCTAAATTAAAACAGTATAAGTGCTTGCTCCATGTCACAAATCTTTCTCCCTTTTCAATCCACCCCTCCAACCGGGCTGGCTACTTTGTACACTACATTTCAAAAGGTTGGGATTGGTAAGAATTTTTAATGCTTTTGAAAGAAGTCTCTTATGCTCTATGAAGTCTCTTATGCCAAATTTACACTGCAAAGGTGGCACAGAAGTGCTTCTGAGGTGGCATTAGGTGCTTTTCAAAGACTATTTAATGCTGCTCAGAGGTGGCATAAATTAATTTACACAACAGTTGCACCTTTGTAAAGTATGTTGATATTAGGAACTGATGTGGGTCAGAGCAGGTATAATTTAGTCTGGCTTTTATGTGGCATTACGTCTTTACACAGAATTTTGAGCAGGCACAGTGTAGCCTTAACTTGGCCGTGTAAAGACACCTCACCTTATGGTTATTTATTTGATCAAAATACTGTAAGACTAATATTGTGAAATATTATTGCAATTTAACATTTTTAAATATTTATTGCTGCAAAGCTGAATTTTCAGCAGCCATTACTCCAGTCTTCAGTGTCTAATAATTCTTCAGATTCAGCGCTCAAAAGATCTCTCAGCGTTGAAAACAGTAGTTTGTATTTCTTTACTGTCACTCTTGATCAATTTAATGCACGCTTGCTGAATAAAAGTATTAATTTCTTTTAAAAAGTCCTTCCCCATTTTTCTATTATTCTAAATTTATTCATTCCTCCAGATTTAAAAATGGTTGCAAAAAATTTCATATTGAATTAAATGGCCCCTTCTTTCTTATTAGATATAATTTTTGTTAGCAATAATTAGTTTGATTTTAGCATGCATAAAGATATCTTTGGTATTGCGGGACTTTACATTTGTGAGATCAGCTTATAATTACTAATCATAAATAATTCAATCAGACATGATCTAACCAGTGAACAACAACAGATGTAAGTTGAGACCATAACGTTCAGTGCATACTTGTCAGTGGAGATAGCCCAGATTAATATGTGATAGTCCTACAATGGATGTCTGTAATGAAATACACTACTCTACCTGCTGAATAATACATGGTTCCCAAAAGGCCATAAAATATTAAGTTTTAAACCCATATAGCCCACTGTGCCTTGTAAAAATATTTAGACCCTTAACCAGTTCTCACTTTCCCACACTGAAATTTGGTTTTCTGTGATCATTTCTAAAACTCTACATGTATTACTTTAACATTCCACAGATTTTAATATTCTGCAGAGGCATCTTTTGCAGCAGTGCCAGCTTTAAGTCTATTGGAGTATGTACCAGCTTCCCACACAGTTCAGGTATGTTTTTAATCTATTCTTTTTGGTTGTTGAGGCGAGTCAAACGATGCTACTTCACAGTTGGTATGATAATGTTTGATGGTGGGCAGTGTTAAATTTGCATTTCCCAAATAGTTTTGAAATTTGGCTGAAGTCTTACCACAAAGTCATGTGTGCTAGCATTAATATTAGTTAAAGGAATAGTTAACGGATTTGTTTCTTACAAACATGCCTCTCTTCATAAGAAATTCATGTTTTTATCAGCTGTTTGGACTTTCATTCTGATGGCACCCATTCACTGCAGTGGATCCATTGGTGAGCAAGTAATTTAATGCTACATTTCTGTTCTGATGAAGAAACAAAGTCATCTACATCTTGGATGGCCTGAGGGTAAATCCTAAGTAAATTCTGATTTGTGGGTGAACTATTTTTTATACATCCATAAACTCCACATTTTTTTTGTTTAATGGACATTAGTTCCCTATTTGTGCCACAATGTACATCAGTGTTGTGCACTTTTACTCTGTCCTCAGCTCCTGAACCCTGCAGCCTCTTGAAAGTGATTGATATGCTCTCTCTGGCTTCTCTCACTGGTCTCCTTTATGTTCGCACAGAGAGTTTTGAGGTACGACCTTTTCAAGGAAGTGTCTAGGTGGTTTGATGTATCTTCCACATCCTGATAATTCAACCAGCAATGTCCACTGGGACATTCAAACTCTCAGATATTATATTGCACACTTTTATTCTAATTTATGCACTTATTTCAACTTCCACAGTAGTATTTTTGAAATATTCTCTAGTCTTTATTTTCACAGCAGTCCTTTAGAATGATGGTTCCTTAACTGTGGGGTTCCTCTCCAGAGAGTGTGGAAGTTATTTTAATGATTCACAGGTAGAGGCCAATTGTGAGGGAACTTTGTCATCATTATGGCAATTGTTTCCTATCTATGTAAATTTAGAAATTATGCAGCATGGGGATTGAAAATTTATGCAAACAGCATATACAGTGGTGTGAAAAAGTGTTGGCCCCCTTCCTGATTTCTTATTTTTTTGCATGTTTGTCACACTTTAATGTTTCAGATCATCAAACAAAATTAAATATTAGTCAAATCAACACTTTTTCACACCACTGTATATGTTTTTGCATAACATAAAACATCATGACGAATGTTAAATGTCTGTATAAAAGATAAACATTACTGATATACAGGACTCTATGTATATAGGCCACAGTCCGATTATCTGATACATATTGCACACAGAACTGAAAAGCACTTTTTTGATCTGACTTTAAGCTCTTATATGATTGGCCGACTTTACACAACCTCTGGGAGTTGGGAGGAACATGTTTCTTTCATCAGTCTGCCTGGAAACCAAGTCGTGTTTACAAAGTAGCGGGATGAATCAGCAAGCACTTGTGAGCAGGAACTAATCACTGGGTTTGCAAGCATTTGTCAGGTTAGTGCCATAACATATATATATATACAGTGGGTACGGAAAGTATTCAGACCCCCTTAAATTTTTCACTCTTTGTTATATTGCAGCCATTTGCTAAAATCATTTAAGCAAATCAAATTGTTTGATTTGTGGCAACAATCAAACTAGTATTTTAACTAAATATGAACAGACCTGTATATTTTCCTTTGTATATTTGAATGTCTGTGAAATAATTAGCTTTTATTTCGGAATGGCAAATTCTGATCACAAATATTATACACATTTTCTTCTTTTTATGTTTTTGTTTTTTGTGCAGCTGTTCACTGAGACTGCTGCACCACTATATTATTTTTTATTATTATTAATGTTTAATTGTCTTTTTTCCCCCCTGATAATACTTAACTCAACACAGACTACCATTTAAAAGTTTGGGGTCAGTGAGATTTATTTAGAAATTCATAATTTTATTCATCAAGGATTAATTAAACTGGTAAAAAGGGACTTTTACTAAAGTTTTACTGACTATAGTTTTACTTTTACTGTTTACTTTTAATGTAAAACAAATTCTATTTCAAATAAATACTGTTGTTTGGAACTTTCTATTCATCAAACAATCCTAAAAAAAATCACTGTTTCCGCAAAAATATTAAGCAGCACAATGGTTTTCAAAAAAATAAGAAACGTTTTTTGAGCACCAAATCAACTTATTAGTATGTGACTCTGAAGACTGGAGTTATGGCTGTGGAAATGTCAGCTTTGTCATCACATAAATTAAATTTTACAATATATTACTGTAACTGGGCTCACGAGACGTGAGACATGTGGATCCATCTGCAAGCTTTTATTAAAGAGACGTGGTATAACAGGCAGGGTTAATGTCTTAACTGGGTATTATGATTGAAAGTGTACATTCAGTACTAATGAAAAACCATCCTTACAAAGTATTCATTACATTCATTCAGTACAGGACAAGAGGGACAGAAAATGTTCTGCTGAAAAGACTCTTTGTGTAGCTAGGACTGGATCACTCTTATTGTAGAGGCTTTACTCTTCCCAGAATTATCTGCTTACAGTATTATATATTATTCAGCAACATGGCTCCAACAAAATGTAAGCAAATCAACTGAAAGGAAAAGCCAGAGTCATTTCATGAAAGGAGAACAATTTGAAATCCAAAAGGATTTCAAATGCACAAAAAAGTCAAACTTAAATATATAAATTCTAAATGAATAATTGTTGCATGTGTATATGCATTTTTGCATGACGCAGTATATATAATCGCATTGGAATAAAACTTACTGATTTGTCTAACACAGGGTATAACTATTCCCAAAAAAGTTTTGATAATTTGGGGGGGGGGGTACTTGTGGTACTTGTTCACACTTTGCTGTACTTGTGGTATTCCCAGCCAATTCCCAGTATTCTACAAAAAAAATAAAAAATTTCCTTATGCTATATTACTACAAAATATTGGATTCAATCTTTTTATCAACTGTTTGGTATTTATTTTTGTAACTGATTGATCATAAGCCTTGTTGACTTGAGCTTATGCACCCTAGTTTCTAAAGTGCCTATTGACAAAATTATCCACAAATAATGCTTTTTCACTCAAAAACATTTTAAAGTATGTGTGTTTATAATATTGTTATTATTATTATTTTCTGTTCAGGGAATGGCTCCATTTATTCTCAAATAGATTACTGACTCATAGTTCTTAGCACTAATTATTCAAAATGTTTCAGTTCACCTCACTTCAGATAGCATGCTTGTACTGCTTCCAAGGCAACTGGCAATTCGTTTTGATGTGTGACCAATAGTGGTTTCATTTACTTTGTCTCTGGTCTCTTATTAACCTGCAAACCAAAGCAAGTATATCATGCACATGGTGATAACAGTGACAACAGTGCTACATGGATCTATCTAATACTGTATATACTCTCTCTCTCTCTCTCTCTCTCTCTCTCTCTGTGTGTGTATAAATATATAAATGTTCTAGAGACAGTATAAGCAGTAGGATAAAGTTAACTTATAGGAAAAAGATATACGAGAAGTCGTACTTCCCATGTAATCTTAAAGCAGTCGCTGGTGTAGAGAGAGTGTTGGATAGTGTATTTGGCATTTTGCAGGTAGTGATCTCAGTCTGAACATT